AGCCAAGTGCTTATACAATTCTCATTTCACAGTATTTAAGAGTCTTTCGTTAGTGTCTTGGAAATCCATTGCAAGGATTTTCTCAAATTCATTTTGGCTATCTCATTTTTAGCGTGCCTGGGATCTGATGCTCTTCATGGGCTCAATTTAATAACCTGACCCTTCAAATATTTATTTTTCATTACATGTGTCTAAGTAAGCATTCTTTTTCTTTCCTTAATTTTTTCCTATATGTTTTCCAAGAGCTTGAATACAAGACCTTTCTTTTTCTTATAAGCCCCCATAAGGAAATTCACAAACTCCTCACTTTCTTATGGGTAATTTGATTTAAGTATTTCTTTCCATTTTTCCCCCTTACATGTCTGAATTTGAATTCTCTTTTAGAGAACTGATTATGTACTTCATGTCTGTCTTTGGAGTGCTCTCTCCCATTAGAAAATGGAATGGAATGGAATGGAATGGAATGGAATGGAATGGAATGGAATGGAATGGAATGGAATGGAATGGAATGGAATGGAATGGAATGGAATGGAATGGAATGGAATGGAATGGAATGGAATGGAATGGAATGGAATGGAATGGAATGGAATGGAATCAGTATATGCTCCCACCTGCATTGCATCTGCTAGGCACTCAGTGAACATTTCCTGAACGTTCAATACCAAGAGTTAACAATCATGACACATTTACCAGGTGTCATGTTCCATGCTAAGCACTTTACATGCATCACGTCATTAACTTTCAGGCTCTAGACTGCACACCTCATTGGCAAGGAGTTTGTCTATGTATTCCTAGCACCTAGAGCAATGCTGGCATATAGTAGGTGCTCACTAATTATTGCTGCCTGAATAAACTGAAAATCTGCATAAGTTAGATGCCAATGTTATTCATGCTTTACACCTAAGGAAACTGAAGCACAGAGAGGTTCACTCACTTTCTGAAGTCCCATGGTTAGTATATGTGAAGCCAGGACTTGATCCAAAACCCACATACTTAACCAGGATTTATTACTAGTAAACTCAATACCTACCTATATTAGTTCAAACAAAATTAATTATATTCATCTTAATAAATAGTAAGCAACGTCAAGAATAAATATTGTGAGCAATGATTTTCCAAGAAAATATGTGCAAGTGATGAGTTTTTAATAAATACAGTACCCCTTCCCTTCGTCCGCAGCTTCATTTTTCTTGGTTTCAGTTACCCGCAGTTTGAAACATTAAATAGAAAATTCCATAAGTAAACATTTCATAAGTTTTATATTGCATGCCATTTTGAGTAGTGTGATGAAATCTCTCTCAGTCCTGCTCTGTCCCATCTGGGACATGAATCATCCCTGTTTCCAGCGAATCCACACTGTATACACTCCCTGCCTATTAGTCACTTAGTAGTTCTCTTAACTATCAGATCTATCGATTGCCTCAATATTGCAGTACTTGTATTCAAGTAGCCCTTATTTTATATAGTAATGGCCCCAAAGTCATTCACTTAACTTCTAATATAGTATATTGTTATAATTATTCTATTTTATTATTATTGTTGTTAACTATGCCTAACTTATAAATTAAACTTTATCATAGATATGTATGTATAGGGTAAAACAGAGTATATATAGGGTTTGGTACTATCCATGATTTCAGGCATCCACTGGGGGTCCTGAAATATATACCCTGCAGATAAGAGGGAACTACAGTAATCAGATAGATAGATATCTGTAAGCTCCTTGCTAACTATGCAAGTTAAAAACATGATTTCTCATTCATCAATGTCTACTGTTGCATTTGTACACTAGGTAATGAGGATTTCAGGACTTTTAATAAGTGAGTGGTCTCCCTCCCCTCCCCGAGCAGTTCTGGGTTTATATAAGTAAGCTGTTGTGTTTTTTAAAAATATGTCTTTATTGATTTCAGAGAGAGGAAGGGAGAAGGAGAGAGAGAGATAGCAACATCAATGATGAGAGAGTCATTGATTAGTTGCCTCCTGCACGCTCCCCACTGGGGATGGAGCCCGAACCCGGGCATGCGCCCTGACCAGGATTCAAACCGCAATCTCCTGGATCATAGGTTGATGCTCAACTGCTGAACCACGCTGGCCGGGCCTAAGTAATTTGTTTTGTTGATTATTTTTAAAATAAGAATGGCCCTAATAAAATAATCGTTTATTGGGGCTTCGTTATAATTGTCTATAGAGTTTATGAGTAATCTGCTTATAAAGTGGAGACTTACATGTCTCTCAAACATCTTTGCCACTGCTAGTCACCTGATTTCCAGAAATATCACCACTAGTACATCATTCTTTAGGGTTTTGATTACTTGTATATTTAACAACTCATTAATAAAAATAATATACCCCTTTGAAAAAGGTAATTCCTCAAAACCATTATTAGCTTTCTCCTTAAATCTTTATTAGCCCACACCTTAGTAGGAGCTAAGTGATATGTAGCAGAGAGCAAAGCCTTTTGAAAATGGCACATAATGGTCCTGAAGCCATGGGTTGAATAGTAAAAAGGGGTGCAGAAATTAGAAGTAGAGACACCAAAAAAGTAGCCCAGCATAGAGGGAGAGAGAGATGGGCGAAGGGCAGGGGACAGAGGAAATAGGGAAAAAAACTTGCCTAGAACTCTGCTATTCACCTTGAAAAGGTCACTTAATCTCTGAGAGCCTCAGTTGCTCCACCTATAAAATGGGGATAAAACATGACTTCCTCACAGACACTTTAATAGCAGATCTCAATGTGCCATGTAAACTGCACAGCACAATGCAACATATAGTGTGGTGTTTTGCTCAGCATTATTTGCTTGTAATCAGACCATTTATGCATTCTGTGAAATAAACATTCATCTTACAAAGACTGTCAACAGCTTCAAAATATAGACCCATGAATCATAGCTACTTTTTTTTTTTTTTTTTTTTGGTCTGGAAGCATTTCTGATATTTTTAACCCAAGGAACCAATTCACAAATTTAACAGCCTTTGTGTGCCTACCAGCTCAGGAAGCTTACTGTGTGCTCTATGGACTAGAGTTCTGTAAAACCTCTATTTAAACAAGAAAGCCTCTTTTAAGTCCTGTTTCAATCTGGTGCCTTTGGTCAAGGTGGAAACTAAAATTGAAAACAGATAGATGTTTTACATTTAAATGGGTTTAACATAAATGTGCATTAAGCCATTTCATGGACGATTGCACAAATATCTTCTGCAAACTTGGTACACGTGAGCACATATACAGTAACCATTAATGTCTTCTAGAGAAATAAGGTGCAGATCCAAAATTTTAAGCAGCTACCTCGAGTCCTCTCACTTGAAAGAAAATGTAATGGCTTTAAGGGAATTGCTCTAATAATGTCATGGCATCTGCAATGGCTGGCCAGAGCAGAGCAAAACCGAGAGTATGTCACAGTAAGTCAATTTAACAAGAAATAAGCTTCCCCCTGGAGAATCAAAACTCCCTAGCCTCCCACAAAGAAAATTGAATTTTGGAGGTCACACCTTGGGTAGGTTACCAGAGGGAGAAGCTTAACATTCTTCTTGTCTTACGCTTAGGGAGGTCAATGCCATTCTACCAACAAATCGCTACCAAAGAGCTGCTCCCACCCTCCACACACACACATCCCCCACCAAAAAATTATAACAAGTCCTTGTAGTCCCCGAGGAAATGAAAAATGATTGTGATACTTAAGATGCCAGGGACCAGACCGGATATAATCATGTTCAAACATCAAGTTTTGAATCGCTCAGCGAGGAGCAGGATCGATCTTGGGGGGGGGTAGTGGGGAGGGGAGGGGGGCTAGTGAGAACGTAGTGGGGGTCAGAGCGAGTCAGAAACACCCACAGAGAGCTTCAGGCTAACACCGACTGGTTAGCCAAGTGTAAATCAATCTAACTGCTGTTACCGAAGAGAAAAGAAAGTCTCCAAGTCAAGGCCAGGGGACGCCCTGGCTGGGTAGGTGGACAGCCCCTCGCGGAGTCGACCGGATGGGTGGTCGAAGGGCCTGGTGAGCCCTCGCAATGGCTGGAGGCGCCCCAGCTCACAGCACCTTGGGCAGAGGCTCTGGAGGGGAGCAGCC